AGAAAGAGAAGGCCTTCTCAGAAGGCCCCCGCGCCTTCTGAGAAGTTGTTGTTCGTCTTCCGGGAAGGCTCAGAAAACTTCTCAGAAGGCCCTCGAGCCTTCTGAGAAGGCCTTCTCCTTCTCAGTTCCCCACCTCGCTCGCCGCCGGGCGGTGCGCAGCAACAGGGTGAGAGCACGCGAGGCAGGCGGAGGAGCGCAGGGAGGGGAGTGTGCGGGGCGGCACGGGGGCTCCAGATCTGCCCCATAGAGCTCCGAGGACGCCCTGGGCCGGCCCCCGTCCGGGCCCGGCGGCCCCCGCCGCGCCTCGGGCGCGCGCTGGCATGGGATGCGGGTTCGTGGACGTGGCGCGCGGGCGCCGGGTCCACGCATCGTGGGAGGCACCCCCCGAAGCAGGAGGCCGATGCCGCCCGACACGGCGGCGGATCGCGCCGGTGCTGCACGGACGCGGGGCCCGTCGCTAGTCCACGCGCCCTGATCAATGTTCGCGTTTCCCTGAGTTAGGCTGTTGTCCCACCTCGATTTTTCACAATGCCGAATCACGCAATTCTCGAATGAAGGAACAAAAACGGCATAGTGAGCGTTTTCTGACTCGGTGTTTCGACATTGGGCGGACGGGGGGGGAGGGGGAGTCTGGCTCCGGATCCCCGCTTGATGCGACTGTTTGCAGCAGCGCGTCCTATGGAGGAGGCTCCACCTGCCTGAAACAGGCGCCAAAAACAGCCGCCAAGGTCTACTCCTTGGGGGGGGGAGGGGGGGTGCGAGGGCCCGCGCCGATGGGCAAAACAATGAATAAGAAAACGATCACATACGTATAATTTCTCGGAGGTTTCGCGCTAATTTCCTGGATCGACGCTGGACCCCGTCCCTAGCGCGGAAAGCGCGCCAAGGGCGGCGCCGGAGGCGCCGCCAGGCGTGCCCAACGCGGATCCAAGAAATCCGCGCGGACTTCCGAAAAATTGTCTTTGTGCCTTTGTGCCGTTGTTCGGCGGCGAGCCCAGGGGGACGTGAGAAGGGGCGGGCCTTCTCTCAAGGCTCGGAAGTCCTCCAGCCTTCTGGAAGTTCCTGAGCCCTCCCCTAAGACACACAGAAATCTTCTCAGAAGGCTGGAGTGGAGGACTTCTGAAAAGCCCCGCCGCCTCCTGAGAAGGCCCTCTCCCTCTTTTGGGAAACAAGCAATGACATAAACATAAAAACTCGGAGCCCCACGCGGATTTCTCCCTTTTTTACTCAGGGCTGGTGTTCCTGCTCGCCGCGGAAAGCCGCCGTCCCGACAAAACCAGCGCTACCGCTCGAGACGTCCTCCTGTTTTCTTGGACTGGCGCGCTACTCTTTCTCTCATCGGCGCCGCCCCCAAAAACAACAACGCTCCCGCTCGAGACTTCCTCCTCTTTTTACTCGAAGCGGTGCTCCTCCTCGCCGCCGAAAGCCGCCGCCCTGACAAAACCAGCTCTCCCGCCCGAGACTTCCTCCGTTTTACGCTGGATTGGCGCTCTACTCTCTTTTGAATTGGCGCCGCTCCCATCAAGAACCACGCTCCCGCTCGAGGCTTCCTCCTTTATTCCTCAGGACGGTGCTGCTCCTCGCCGCCGACAGCCCCCATCCCGACCAAACCACGGTTCCCGCTCGAGACTTCCTCCCTTCTTACTCAAGGCGGTGTTCCTCCTCGCCGCCGACAACCGCCGTCCCACAAAACCAGCGTTCCCGCTCGAGACTTCGTTTTGTTTGACGCTGGACTAGCACCCTACTCTCTTCAGCATTGGCGCCACTCCCAGCAACAACAGCAGCCCTGCTCGAGACTTCCTCCATTTCTACTCAGGGCCAGGTCCTTGCCTCGCCGCCGACAGCCCCCATCCCCACCAAGGCAATCCTGTAGCTCGATACTTCCTTGTGCTTTACCCTTGGCTGGGGCTTCACTGGCGGTCCCGCATCGGCGCAGCAAGGCGCGGGCGTGCGTTTTCGAGCCGGGATATGTTGAAACTCCTCGGAAGAGGTGTTTGCAACACCCCATTGGGCGGAAGATCTTAAAATGGGAATCACGGCCCCCGCTATAGACCAATAGTCCCCCATGATGGGGATGGTTATCATGATGGTCGCATCCTTCGTGTGGAAGCATCACGCATGAGGGTAAAATGATTGTTGTGGTTGTTGTTGTTGTTGCTGTTGTTTTGAGTTTCCACTTCTGATAGTTACTGTGGATATTCCCTTCCTGCGGCCGTGGTATTTTTTCAAAAAAGGTGCTCCTCCTGGGGCCTGGGGCTGACATTGGGCCCGTGGCCCCCGACTTACAGCAACAACGGCTCCCGCCTGATAACTCCTCATACGTTATTTCAAAATCGCGCTCTCGCGCGCGGGATTTCCTTACTATCTATGCAAGAACCGCGCTCTGGCGTGGGATTTCCTTGTAGTGTATTCAGGCGCCACACCCTCGTCACTCCGGAATCACGCTCTCGCTTTGGCTTCTCCCAAAACTTACTTGGGAATCGCTCTCTCGCCCGATACGCCCTTGCGATTCATGCACGACTCACGTTTCAACAATCCGCCTGCTCGACCTGACCGCCTGGGCCCACTTTCCCGACCCGCCCGCTAGGGTCTGCCCGCCCGATTTGCCCGTCTGATTCTGCCACGTGTTTTGTGCTCTTGGCCCCCTCTCCTGCTAATCTCTTTCGTGGTCATTTGTTTTTCGTTCTCCCTTGCATCCGTCTTTCTTCCGCTGTTTTAGGGCCTGCGTTAATTGCACGTGGCAGGTAAGGAAGATGCACTCCCAAGGTGGCACGATCGAAGACAAAACGAACGAGTAGGTAGGAGCGAGCCGTCTTAACATGATTGTTCCCTACCTAGGCTCTGCCAGTGCCTATAAGGGTTCTTACTCTCTTGGCTTAAAGGGGCCGGGCAGTGTAGAACGCCCTGGGCGGTTCCCCCGGCATCCGCCCCGCGGTTCCCCCAGTCCCCTGGGAGCTTTAGCTTTAGCTTTAGCTTAGCTTTAGCTTAGCTTCAGCTTAGCTTCAGCTTAGCTTTAGCTTAGCTTTACCTTCGCTTTACCTTAGCTTTACCTTAGCTTTACCTTAGCTTTAGCTTAGCTTTAGCTTAGCTTTAGCTTAGCTTCAGCTGAGCTTCAGCTGAGCTTCAGCTTAGATTCAGCTTAGCTTTAGCTTAGCTTTAGCTTAGTTTTCGCTTAGCTTTAACTTAGCTTTAGCTTAGCTTTAGCTTAGCTGTATACTGTTACTACTAATGCTGCTTTCCTAGGGGCTCCAGCTCCTAGGTAGGGTCGCACTGGGATAATTGTTTCTTAAATTTCGGACTCAGTAATGATTCGTGGTGCCTCGCACTTGATAGTGCTTGGCACTGCCTCACAATGTATTAACAATTGTTCCCGCTTGATACCGCCACACAGTTTAGTCAAACATCGCGCGCTCGCGCGGGACTTCGTCATATGTTCTGCAACCATCGCGTGTTCGCGTGAGACTTCCTCATAATTTATTCAGACGCCGCGTCCTGGACACTCAGAAATCACGCTCTCGCTGTTGCCTCTGTCGCGATTTACTCAAGAGTCGCGCTATCGTTCCAGACTTCTTCGCGCTCCATGCAAGACTCACGCTTCGACAATCCGCCTGCTCGACCTGGCCGACTGGGCCAACCTTCCCGACCCGCCCGCTAGGGTCTACCCGCCCGGTCTCCCGTCTGGTTCTGCACGTGTTTTCTGCTCCTGGCCCCCTGCTGCTGATCTCTCTCATGGTCTATCCTTCTCCCTCTCCCTTTCCATCCGTCCTCTCTTCCGCTGATGTAGGGCCTGCGCGACTTGCACGTGACAGGTAATGAAGATACACCTCAAGGGGGTACGATCGAAGACGAAGAGGGCGGGTACCGAGGGTTTGGGGTAGTGTTGGATGGCGCGCGAACAGGTAGGTGCGAGCAGTCTTAGATTATTGATGCTGATGTTGTTGTCGTCGTCGCTGTTGCTGCCGTTGTTGTTGTTGGTGGTGTTGGTGCTGGTCTGGTTGCTGCTGTTGCTATTGCTATTGCTGTTGCTGTTGCTGTTGCTGTTGCTGCCGTTCTTGTTGTCGTCGTCCTCGCCCGCGATCCCCCGCAACCCATCGACGTTGCCTCGGCTAAACAATCGGCGCCTGCGGCGGGCTCGTTGTGGAGCACGGAAAAACAAAATCTGCGCGTGCGGCGGACATGTTCAGAGCCTCGCAGACTGCCGACGACGCCCCCTCGCTCTTGTCTGCCATTGCGGGGTGTTACTTCCTTTCAACGACCGATGGCCACGAGGACGACAGAGGCGACGTGGGCAATGCGTGCGCGCCTCCCCGCCAGCAGCGGCGGCTCCCGCACCATCCGCGCCACCGCCTTGGCTGTCGCGCATGTGGCCGTCGCCACCGCCGCCGCCGCCGCCGCCGTCGTCTTCGTCGTCGTGCGTCGTCGTCGTCGTCGTCGTCGTCGTCGTCGTCGTCGTCTTCGGCGTCGGCGTCGTCGTGCGTCGTCGTGGTCCGTCGCCGTCCGTCGTCGTTGTCCTTGTCGTCGTCGTGTGTCGTGCGTCGTCGTCGTCCGTCGTTGTCGTCGTCGTGCGTCGTCGTCGTCGTTCGTCGTGTCGTCGTCGTGGTCGTGCGTCGTCGTCGTGGTGGGCGTCGTTTGCGGAAACGGGTTTGCTCTCGTATGTCCCCCAGTCCGCGCGGAGCGGCGGGCTGTGGTGGCAATGGCAACCACTGCGGGGGAACAAAACGAGGTCCTCGGCTCAACAATCTGGTAACCAAAATCAGCTCCAGCCGGTTGAGATGGCATCGGGGATCGAGGAAGCACATGGGAGACGATTAGACACGGGCAAAGAGGGGACTGACCAGGAGCTAAACTCTACGCAACAAATCTCTTTGCGAGTCGAAGCCCGCCAGCTTCGGCCCGAGCACGAAACGCTGTGTTAACACGGAGATGACTGATTTCAAAGGCCACGCACAGCTGGGGTCCACAACACGTTCTAGTCCAAATGCGGTAGGTTCGTGCGGCGTTGGCGCGCCGGCGACGCGGGCGAAGGCGTTCAAGGTTGAATGTTGCGGCGCGGAAGCACCGAGGGACACGGTGACCAAATGGAATTCAACCTTGAACGATAGGGGCCGCGGTCGATTCAAAATTGAAAGATCGACGCGGTGACAACAAACTTTGCGCGCGCCGACGCCGCACGAACCTACCGTGTCCCAGTGCCGAGACCTCGCCCCAACGGGCGTCGGCAGCCGGGAAGCGACCGGCGAGGAAACGGTCCACCTGCTCCGATCCTGGCTTGAACAATGTTCCCTGAAGTCAGGCTGCGGGCTCCCTAACCGCGGGGACCCTCGCCCCGAAACCTCTGCGACAACTCCCAGTCCGAACGAGGCGAGCTCGAAGACCTCGATTTGGTTCACCTCCTTCCCCGACTCCTGGTCCTTGCGACTGCGACCGCGCCTCCTGTGTGCCTCCTTTCTGTCGATACTGTACTTTTGCAACGAGCCTCTCCTGCGCTCTCCTGCCTGTGCTGCCTTCCTCAACCCTCCTGCTCGTCATCATCGCGATCCCTGCTCCGTCTCCTTGCATCTCCACGGCTCTGGGTTCTCAGCCGGAGGAGGGTGGCGGATGGTCATGGGGCGAAGGCATGGGCGGCGACAGCTGCTCCCCCCTGGGGGGTCTCTCCTCCTACTTCTCCTTGAAGTGCCCTCCTCTCCGCGGAGGTGCGGTGTCATCCCGAGCTCCTCTGCCTGCCTAGAGGCCTCCTGGATGGGGTCCGAATGGATGGGATCGGAGGGTCGCGCCGCATCGCCAATGCATCATATCGACAATGCATCGGTGATGCAACGACGATACATCCGCGATGCATCGGCGATGCACCGACGACGTCGGCGTGGAGAAAACATCGGGTTCCGCACCGAGCCGCATCGGCGATGCATCGGCGATGCGGCGCGATCCTCTGACCCCATATACTCCGACCACACCTGGGAGGCCTAGACTGCCTGACTGGCCTCCTTAGCCTCCCCTGCCCTTGCTACCACCACACTCGGGGGCGCGCAAGCATGGATTAGCGATCCATGGCTTTGTTGCGCGGTCGCCAAATCCATGGATCGGGGGAGGTGCCCTCACCAAAGTGCAGCCGGTACCGTCTCGGTCGGCGGCGGACATCCGCGATTTCTCATGGAAGCGGGACCCGTCGCTAATCCACGCCCCCTTGATCCATGTTTGCGATCGCCTGGCTCACGCTGGAGCATGGCCGCCAACGTCGTCGAAAAGAGACGGGACAAGGCCACCCCGCCGCTCCCGTGCGAGCTGGGTCGCCGCTGGTCGGGGGCCTCCCCCCTTCGGCCTGCGAGCCTCGGCCGCGACCCGCGACGGACCCGCAGAGGTGCGCCCGCAGAGGTGCGCCACTGATGCGGACCCCTGGCCTAAGACGAGGCCAGTCCACAAGAAACCTTCCACCCCTAGCTTTTTGGTGTGGGCACGTCACGCTTTCCATCGCAGGGCCATCGAAACCCAAGAAACCCAGGGCACCCCGGAGGCGAGCAGTATGTCTCTTGGTATGGGCCTCCACTGTAAGACGAGGCCAGGACGCGGATAAAATCGGGGGAGGATCAAATCGAGATTCTCTCAGACCTGGCGGCTCTGGAGGACATCTCGGGCGCCGCGGTCTGCTCAGAGCGTTCCGGAACGCTCTGGAACGGACTTCTCCCCGCCCTGGCCCCGCCCCACACGGCCGGCGTGTACGCGCCGAGGCTCCACGGGCCGAGGGCGGTCGCGCGGCGCTCCACCCTGGCAAGGCACGACTCCTCGAGCCTGCGCCGAAATGGCAGTCTCGCCCTTCGGGTCGCTGGCCTGGCACGTGTGGCACACCGCCTGCGAGGAAGGGATGGGGCGACGCCGCGCCCGATGCTCGTAGTTCTCTCGTCCGACGCCGCGACGTGCTCGCACTCGATGCCCGTCCAAATCCGGACCGACGTGTTCTGGTCGGTGCAGACTCGCGCGATGGGGTGGGTAGCCGTGCGTGTTGCGGTCGTTACCCCCTGGAGATCTCCAGACGGATGGCTCCAGGGTAACGTACGACAAACCCTCCTCTTCCTCCTCCTCCTCCTCCTCCTCCTCCTCCTCCTCCTTCTCCCCTCGTTCCCTCCTCATTCTCTTCTCCTTGGGCTAGGTGGGGCTGTGTGGACGGATTCCGCGCCCCTGAAAATGTCGACGAGACGCAGGTGAATGAACAACTCTCGGTGCCTGCATCGAATACCAAGCAACGTTTGTCAAAATACGGAAGCAAGCCATTGGACGTCTATTCAAGTCCCTTGGGCATCCTGAAACGGATTACAGATGGCGCAGCAAAGAGGCAAGGGTGTTCTCGTTCAACGTACTCCAACCTTTCAGTGGGCTTTGACGACTGTACGTCCGTCCAAAACGCATCTGAAGCTGCTGCATCACATGCGACTACCTGCTACACTACACCCGAGCCCCTGTCCCTTTTTCTTCGGTCCAGCGCTGCCCTTCGGGTCCTTCTTGCCGCCTTTCTTCGGGACCTCATCCTCGTCATCATCATCGTCCTGCGGAGAATAATGCCAAAGGAGAAGGATGATGGTGATGATGGTGATGATTGTCATGATGATGCTGGTGATGATGATGATACCGATGATGACGATGATGATGATGATGATGAAACTGATGAAGATGATGATGCTGCTGATGATGAGTGTCTTGATAATAATGATGACGATAATGATGCCGATGATGATGCTGATGATGATGCTTATAATGATGCTGATGGTGATCGTGCTGATGCTGATTATGCTGATGATGATACTGATACTGATGATGCTGCTGCGGATGATGATGATGATGATGATGATGATGATGATGATGATGATGATGATGATGATTGTGATTATTCCGCATCCCTGCGGCGGCATGAAGATACTGATAATGATGAGTCTGCTGATGATGCTAGTGATAATGATGATGCTGATGATGATGATGCCGATGATCATGATGTTGCTGCTGATGATGATTATGCTGAGGTGATGATGGTGATGGTGATGGTGATGATGATGCTGCTGGTGCTGGTGCTGATGCTGATGCTGATGATGCTGATGCCGATGCTGACGCTGATGATTATGCTGCTGCTGCTGCTGATGATGATGATGATGATGATGATGATGATGATGATGATGATGATGATGATGATGGTTCGCCGCCGCGCCACAGGAACTGGGTGGAGTGTCCTCATGTCTCTTCGGACTCTCTTCGCTGAGTCTTGCACATGGTCGTTGAAGGGCGCAGTCTCCTGCGCTCTGGGCGTTTGCAGGCGTTCCTGAGCGCTGGGGGTCTAAACCTCGGACGTGCTCTAAGATGGTATCAAGGGCCCGTGCTGGCGCTCTCTTGGGGTCCACTCGGCCGTCTTGGAGGCCCTATAGGGAGCCAGCCCAAGAAGCTTATACTGGAAGTTTTGGCGTAAAAACACCCAAGACGGCTCACGAGCTCCCTAACATCAACCTGATGGCGACGGCCCTCCAAAATCCCAATAGGGTCCAAGAGGGGCCAAGACTGCGCAGAGCGGGGACCGGGATGGGGCACGCGAACTTACATGTTGAGACCTGCACCCCGCCCCCTGGACCGCCCCCAGCCCCTCAGGATGCCTCAAGAGGCACCAAGAGGCCCCAAGGAGGACCCCAGAATACCCCAAAGGCCTCAAAATAATCCCAAGCGGCCTCTCAGAGGCCTCTCGTCAACGACCCAAGCACGGTGGTGGGATGGACCGAACGCCACTCGATCCGCCGCCCCCTGTCGATTCATCGCAGGGGTGCCTGGCGTGCTGGATCCTCGCGGTTTGGGTTTTGGTTCTTTTTCCAAAAGAATTCCCCCTTGGGCTCCGGCGCGTCCCGCCGGGGTCCCGGAAAGATTGCCCAGACACGGCTCCAAAGGGTTTTTCCTATCCATATGGCTCCAAGACGGCCCAAGATGGCCTCCAAGATGCCCCAAGACGGCCAAGATGGCCTCCAAGACGGCTAAGCTGGCCCCAACATGCCTCCAAGACGGCCTAAGAGGGTCCAAGATACCTCCAAGTTCACCCAAGAAGCCTCCAAGACGGCCCAAAAGGTCTCCAAGAGGTCCTCCAGGAGGGCCCGAAGAGGCCAAAATCATTGATTTTCCTTGGTTTTTGAAGGATTCTGGCATTTGCCTCTTCTCGGCATTCCGACGGCTCAAGACGGCCCAAGAGGCCGCCAAGATCGCCCCAAGATCGCCCACGAGGCCTCCAAGAAGGTCCCATGACGGCCCCAAGAGGGCCCCAAGAGGCCTCTAAGACGACCACGATAGCCTCCAAGACGGCTAAGATGACCCCAAGAGGCCCCCAAGACGGTCCAGAGAGGCCCCCAAGACGGCTTCCGACGGCGTCAGACGGGCCAGGAGTCCACCAAGATGGCCGAGGTTGGCTCGAAGCTGGCCCAAGACGGCCCAAGAGGCCTCCAAGAGGGCCTCCAGGAAGGCCAGAAAAGGCCAACACAAATTGATTGACATTTGCTTCATTTCGGCCTTCCGACGGCCCGAGACGGCCCAAGAGTCCCCAAAGATCGCCCAAAGATCGCCCAAGATGCCTCCAAGATGGTCCCAGAACGGCCCAAGAGGCCTCCAAGACGGCCCCAAGAGGCCCCCAAGACGGCCCAGGAGCCTTTTAAGACGCCCAAGATGGCCTCCAAGACGGCCCTGGAGCATTCCAAGAGGGCCCCAAGTCGGCTCAGAGAGGCCCCCCAAAATGGCTTCCGTCGGCGTCGTTCGGGCCAGGGGCCCACCAAGGCGGCCGAAGATGGCCCTAAGATGGCCCAGGACGGCCCAAGAGGCCTCCAAGAGGGCCTCCAGGAAGGCCCGATAAGGCCGAAATCATTGATTTCCCATGAGTTTTTGAAGGATTGTGGCATTTGCTTCTTTTCGGCCTTCCGACGGCCCGAGACGGCCCAGGTGTCCCCAAAGATCGCCCAAGAGGCCCAAGACGGCCCCAAGAGGCCTCCAAGACGGCCCAAAAGGCCTCCAAGACGCTCAAGATGGCCTCCAAGGCGGCCCAAGAGCCCTCCAAAACATCTCCCAGAAAGCCCGAAAGGGTCAAACTGGCCTCCAGACGGCCAAGACGACCTTCAAGATGCCCACGTGTTCCCCGAAGGCTTTCTAAACCGATTCGGAGAACACATGGTCCGATAGCTTGGCAGGTCTGGTCTCAACGTTCGGCCACATAGGCGCTTCCAGAAAGGCAGGGGGCGGCGGTGATTCGCCGTAGGCGTCTTCGATCCGCTGCCTCTGTAGCCTGCGGAAGGCAGGCGGCATGCCAAACTTTATGAGTCTGTTTGGCCTTTCCAAGAGATTCCACATGGCCTTCGGCGCATCCCGCCAGCCATCCGGAGAAGTGCCATCCCATGGGTGCTTCAATCCAAAATGGCTCCAAAATGGTTCCAAGAAGGCCTTAATGGCCTCTAAGACTTTCCGAAGACGCTTCCAGGAGAGCCCGGACAAGCCAAAACTGCTTACTCTCCATTCCGCAACAAAGTGGGGGAAGTCTGATTTGAACTGTCTTGGCGGATTCCGGGGGGTCTGGGCACAAGGCTGCTCTTTCGTGGCTGGTCTGGGGGGGTCTAAAACTGCTCCTCTGGGAGGGTTGTGACCCCCCCCCTTGTAATACGAAGTTTGGAGTAGGTCTTCTTTTTGGGTCTTCGAAAGAACTCCGCATTCGCGCCGATTCGGGCTTCCGACGGCCCAAGACTGCCCACGAGGACCCCCCACGAGAGCCCCACGGCGGTCCAAGAGTCCCCCCTAACAGGGCTCCCAGACGGCCCAACAGGTGTCCACCAAGGTGGCCCCGAATGGCCCCAAGCCAGCCTCCAGAGGCGTCAGACGGGCCAAGAGCGCCCTAAGACGGCCCAAGAGGCCCCAAAGAGGCCAGCAGGACGCCCCCCAGAGGGCCCAGAGAAGCCTCCACGAGGTATTCTCCTCCTCCTCCTCCTCTTCTTCTCTCACGAGTTCCCCCCAAGGGTCTCCACAACGGCTGGGGAAACATAGTCCAATAGCCTTGCCAAACCTTTGCCCAACGTTCGGCCACACAGACGTTTCCAAAGGCATTGGGCGGCGGTGGGTCGTCGTGGGGGTCGTCGATCAACCTTGAAGGGGGGAAGGCGGGGAGGCAGGTGAGGAGGAGGGTGCGGAGGAAGAGCATTATCAGAAGTAACAGGAGCATGAGAAGGTGAAGATGAAGTGAAGTCCTGGCCCAGTGCTCTTATCACTAATGGAGCAACACATGTGCCTGCTGCTCCAGCGTTAATAAACTAAGAACGAACGCGAAATGAGCACCGTTGCTGAGTGGCAGGTGGAGGAGCAGCCAGGAGAGCGAACGTCCCTCACACAGGTAACTCGTATTACAATTGTTGTTTATGCCTGGTCCGAGCGCGCGAGGGCGTCCCTGGGGATTTTGCGGACCTCACTGGGTCCGAAGTCGGACCTCACTGGGACCGAAATCGGATCGAACTCAATGATTGCGAGATTTGCGGGCTCAATACGGCGGGCCCCTGCGGGCCCTGGCCATGCTGGACTCAAACAACTTGGCAAAATATAACCATTGAAAGCCTGAAGGCTTGCGATAGCCTAAGTAGGCAACTTTGGAACCACAGCGAGGGTTCTTGGGGGGGGGCGGACCGAACGCGAATCACAGCGGCGCCCCCCGGCACCCCAAGTCTCTTGGAGGCTCATTGGCGGCCCCAATATGCTCCAAGACGGCTCCAGATTGGCCAAGCTGTCCCCAGGATGGACCGCCGACGGCCCAAGATGGCTTCGAGGTGGGCCAAGCTGGCCCACGAGGCCGTCAAGATGCCGCAAAAACGCTCGAAGAGGACCAACACGAGGGCCAAAACGAGGGCCTCCAGAAGCAACCATCATTGATTCCCCCATAGGCACTTGAAGGATTTCAGGGTTCTCGCTTTTTCGAACTTCCGACGCTCCAAGAGGCCCCCAATATCGCACCAAGACGCAAGACGGCCCAACAGGCCCCCAGGAGTCCCCAAAGGGCCCCAGAGGGCGCCAAGACCGCCCAAGAGGCCCCCAAAACGGCCCCACAAGGCCCCAAGACGGGCCCCAAGAGGTTCCCAAGAGGGAACTCGACTGGAAATTTTGAATTTTTCGCTCCAAGCCCCTAGGAGGTCCGAAGGGTCCCCCCCCAAAACCTTTCCCAACCGCCCCAGGAGGCCCACCAAACGCCCCAGCGTCCTCACGACATGATGCATTTGCGTGCGGGTTTTCCCATGGGGGGCTCTGCGGGTTCAATAATTCGTCGATCGATTTGGCTGGTGCTGTCGTGGTACCGTGTCGCATATTTCCCCAAACAATGTTTGTGTAGGTTTCACCATTCTGAGACTAACGAATTGGATGAATCAGGCGCGGATTTTCCACGTTGCCGCCCGTGGCCGCCTCGTGCGCAGGGTTGGTGTGCACAAATTTCGCCACGTTGCCGCCTCGTGCGCCGCAAAGGTCCAGCGAAATTTCGCCACGTCGCTGCCCGTGGCCGGCTCGTGCG